CTTTTCTTGTTCCACATTTTAGTGGGAAGGCGTTCAGCTTTTCTCTGTGGGGTATGATGTTGGCTGTGGGTCTGTTAAAAAGAGCTTTTATTATGTCAAGGTATATTCCCTCTATACACACTTTGGTTAGAGTTTTTACCATGAATTCATGTTGAATTTTATCAAATGCTTTTTCTGCATCTATTGAGATGATCATGTGGGGTTTTTTTTTCTTTCTTTTGTTGATGTGGTTTAGAAAACAAACTTATGGTTACCAAAGGGGAAAGGGGGAAGAGATAAATTAGGAGTTTGGAATAAGCAGATACAAACTACTATATATAAAATAGATAAAGAAAAAAGTCCTACTGTAGAGCACAGGGAACTATATTCAATATCTTGTAGTAGCCTATAGTGAAAAAGCATTTGAAAAAGAATATATGTATGTAACTGAATTGCTTTGCTATATACCAGAAACTAACACAACATTGTAAATTAACTATACTTCAATAAAATAAAATTAGTCAAGCCCGTGGAGTAATTGTGTAAATGGCCACTGTACACTGAAAAGCCCCTGGTGGGGCTCCTGAGGCTCGGCCAGCGCATTCCTCTCAGGCCCACTGCTTCTTTTATGGGGCCTTCTGGAAATTTCTATAGCTTCTAATTTGTTTTTCTTTTAATGTTTCCAAAAGTGCTCAATCTGGGAGGAGGGTAGAGCTCTGTTAGAGCTCGTGCTTAGCACGCACGTGGTCCTCGGTTTGATCCCCATTGCCTCCGTTAAAAAATAATAATAAAGTGATGAATCTTATAAATGTATATTTATATCTCTGTTTCAAAAGGACAGAAGTGTAACTTTGAAGTTGCTGTGATTTTTTTATGCAGCGAGAGCAAACCCTATTTTTGTTTGGTTTTTTTGGCTACTTTGTTTAAAAACACACAATAGGGGACAGATTCATGTCTCGGTTTAAAATGCGCTGAGTCATTGAGATGCGTTTTTCAGTATTGTTTTCATACATGTGGGAGTGAAGTCCGGCTCTTTCACGTTTGAGGATCAGGCAAAGATGCGCAAGAGCTGTAAAGAAATTCAGGAGAAAGAGGGGGTTGCCTGTGACTTAGAAAAAGTGAGAAATTGCTTTCACGGAGTAGAAAAAGAGTCACGCTGGGAAATGCGGAGGCTCCACAGTTGAAGTTTCTTTTTCTGTCAAACCAAAGGGAAGAGAAACAGAGTTCTGAAAGAGAGAAGCACAGAATCCTCTGAGGAAGTTACCTCCACAGCTGAACAGGGAGAGGCGGACGTAACAGGCCGCTTCTGGGCAGAGCCGGGGCCCCGGGGCGGGGCGCATTCATCTCCGACGGGGTGAAGCTGTATTTTCACACTGAAAATTGATGTCTGAAGGAGCACAGATGAAAAACTAGAGGTTCCATCTTTAAAGTTTTAGGAGAAAGAAGAAAGAATTAAGGCTGAGAAGAGTTAAAGGGAGCCAGAAAATTCACTAATCCATTAGATTCTGGTATTTATATGTTTTTCAATTTTGCCACACTAATTTGCACTGATCGTAACATATTATATCATTTTATATTTTAATTTCTTTAAAAAAATTTTGGAGGTGGAGGTAATTAGGTTTATTTATTCATTTATTTATTTGGTGGAGGTACTGGGGATTGAACCCAGGACCTCGTGCATGCTAAGCACACACTTGGCCACTGAGCTGTAGCCTCCCCCCTGCCCTGATTATAATATACTGTGTAATTTTAACTTCAACTATTAAAAAGTATCACTGAATGGAAAAGTTCCCTGGATATGAGTGTTGAGTTCTTGTGGCTGGACTATGAATAAAACTGACACAAGACAGGTTAACAGGTGAGAAATTAATTTAACTCTGTGTGTCCAAGACAGCATACAATGATGCTCAGAGAGTGACCAGAGGCAGCCAGCTTTTGTGCTTTTTAGACATTCTAAGAAACAGTAAATTTGCAGGGAATTGACAGGACAAAGAAACTTGGGCTCTGAGTGGTTAATTACTGAAGAACCTAAATAGAGTTTGAGCTGGAGGTAATAAATTAAAACAGCAAGGTTGTGGACGCAGGTTTCTTGGCCCAAATTCCCCATGTCTGGTCATGAGTGTCCCTTTACCTCCAGATGCAAGGAGGGCACCTTTCACATGAGAGATTTATTTCCTGCTTTCAGGGAGACAGAGGAGGAGACACAACCAAACGCAACCTTTTGCTTTGGTTGTGTCTTAAATAGCTTTAACTCAAAATAATCAATATGCCATTGAGGCACATTCTGGGGCGGCCTGCCCTGGCTGTGCTTCGTACATCTTTGTCGCTTTCCACTTCGGCTCAGTCAGCCCACCAGAATAGTTATGAAATGAATGGGGACCCAGACCTGTGTTCTGGGTTTAACTGTTCCTTTGGGAAACTGATCCATTTGAACTCTAGGGACAGAATCCACAATCCACGGTCAAACTCAGAAGCCCTCATGGAGCACGTGTTTACAAACATGTGAAGCGCGGCCAACTGGAGAATATATGCCACACACACCCAGCAGCACTCAAATCCATACACTTTGGGTTTGAAATCGTGTGCCTCCCTAAACTAAGGCTGCAGGTAGGCAGAGTGGCCCTGGGTGATCGTTGGCTCAGTGCCTACCACGTTCCGTGTGCTTGGATAACTCAACAGGGTAGGCAATGTGAGACCATTTTACAGATGAAAAAATAGGCTTCTAGAAGTGAAAAACTTGCCTAAATTCACCCAGCTACTAGGCACCTCAGGTTGGATTTTGCCCCAGGTCTGTCTTCTCTTTTCACTTTTACTGCCCTGCTGAAGCAAGCTGGTCGGAGGGGCAAGTCTGAGGACACAGGAGCTTATGTAACAAGTTGCAAATTCCAGCCTCTAAAGTGATGTTTCATTGAATTCGCCTTTGTTTTTGGACTCTACAGTGGTGGTACTTGTACAGTTTTTATTCGCTCTGAAAGAGACGAAAAGCTTTACAAATGTAACGTGTTTGAATTCAGTGTTCCCAGGAGGAGCTGAAGAGAAATTCGTCATTCGGCACCTTTTGGGCAACAGAAACACAAAACCCTAGAAGAGAAAGACGACGCTGTTGTCTTTTCACAGCGACGCTGCGAAAGGGCCGTGCGAGCCAGCGGGGAGGCAGCGGCCGGCGCTCCGTGCTTAGTGCCCTGTTAACTCACTGCCCCCGCGCTTGAAATAACTGGGATGTCTTATTCTTGCATTTCACGACTTGGAGTTCCGAAATACAATTTGAGAAAATAAGACCTCTAAACAGAAAAAGTAAAGACATTAGTAGTGATGATTAACATTACAAAAGTTTTTTAAAATCTTAAAAATATTTACTCTCCAGGGTTTCTTTCGCTCTTTTTCCCTTTTGTTCACTAAGCTCTCATAATATGATTAAATGTTTGTTTTGTCACCTATTAGCTACTTAACCTAGAGGTTGAGGTACAGGAATATTTCTTAAATATTACATTTTTGGAGCCCTGATTATTAAAGGGCATTATGGAATAAAGAAAAGCACCTTAGAAATACCAACAATAACAGCAAACAAATACTGAGAATTTACCACCTAACAGGCACTGTGCTAAGCACTTTATACTGATTTCGTGCCTCCGGTAATCCCATGAAGAGGGTAATATTATTATCCCAATTTCACAAATGAGAAAACAGAAACATCCCTAGTAGAGCTGGCCCTCCGTATCTGAGGGTCTCACATCCAGAGACTCAACAGGGATCAAAAATATTTGGAAAAATAAAACAACATTCCAGAAAGCTCCCCCCCAAGAAGCAAAACTTGAATTTGCCCTGTGACGGCAACTGTTTCCATAGCATTTATGTTGTATTAGGTGTTGTAAGTCATTTAGAGATGCTGTCAGGGGTGTGGGAGCATGTGCATGCTCCCACCAGTCATACTGGATCAGGGTCCCACCTAATGGCCTCATTACCTTAATTGTGTCCTGCAGGACACCATCTCCAAGTACAGTCGTACCCTCAGTTACTAGGGGTTAGGACTTCAACTCAGGAATCTGGGTGGGAGGGACACACACCTCGGTCAGAATGGAGAAGGGGGGACAAATGGAAGGCCATTTAGGTAGAAGTCACCATGACTTGGCTGGCGAGGTGTCAGGTGCACACAGGAGAGAGGGAGGTCTGCCTGACTTTTGGTTTTGGCAGTCAAGTACGTGCCAGTGCCATCTGTCAGAAAATGAGTCCGGAAGGCAGGCTCAGTATGCTCAGAAAAATGAGTTCAGTTTTCAACATGCTGCAGTTGAAGTAGTGATTTCTAGTGAACAGGTAAGTCGAAGTTTGGAGCTTAAGAAAGAACAGAGACAGAAACCGAGGGGGTATGAGATTGTCCAGGAAGAAAATGTGAACTACGAACACAGGGCATTTCATCAAAGGGCACCAGACATGAAGGGCGTGAAGGTAAGAATCAAAACAGAGCAGAGCGGCACCAAAACTGAGGGGGAGGGGAGTTCAGTCGGAGAAGACTGAGTTCCTAAGCCTTTTCCAGAAACTTTATGGGATGGGATTTCATTTCAAGGACCACAATAGTGAGTTCTCACTTGCCTGTGTTAGTAAACGAGGACATCGTTTGTGGTGATTTCTGATCAGCCAGAATGCGTTCAGAATGTCCTATCGATATTATACAGCTTTCCCTCTGTCTTTTGCAAATTCTAAATCTTTAGAATGAAAAGAAATCTTTAAAGCCAAAATACGATGGCATGTATCTTAAACTCATCAGTACACTGATTTTTATTTTCAGGATTATTCTTGACAATTCTCCCATTTACACTGGAAGACAAATTTTGAGGTTCACTCCCTACAACAATGTATGTGCCTTAAATACTGTAGAGGTGATAAGATAACTAATGGATTAATACCTGAACAGTATAATACATCTTGGAATGCCATGGTCTTACAGCCTCAGGTAACCTGAAATTTATTAATGAAATCTATTTCAACTTAGAAATCAATTTCAATTTAGAAAACAGAAAGCAAACTGCATAGGGAACAACATTTATTTATCAGCTATACTGTGAATATTACTTTCAGACAATCAGATATAGACACTTCAAAATTCCACAGTATTCCAGAGACCCAAAGGCACAAATACAAGTGATTTATTATATTTTTAAAAAGTGACAAAAGGGAGTATTAATTCTGGAAGATTTTTAATCAATTCAACACTATTATACACTAGAGAAAAATTTCCACAAACATTCCCTCATGAAGCTGGTGGCTTTGTATTTACATAGAATTATTATAGCAGTTTTATATGTTAATCTATGATACACTGTTACTTCAGAAAACATAAAAAATATAATTTTTTAATAGCCATGCTCCTCTTTATGATGAAAGCTAGTCAGTTCATCCTAATGTGTGACACTTGACAAATGCACAGAGATGCTCAGTCAGCTTTGTGGAACCTGGACTTCGGGGGCTGTCAGGCAGCATAGACGGAGGGCTCGTCCTCACTGAGGTCTGAGTCATCCTCGTCCACCCCCTCGATGACCGATTTCTTCCCTTTACAACAGGATACGATCAAGCCAATCAGGAACACCTGGACATGGGAACAAGCTGCATGTCATTTCTCAACTCTAAAATCACTCAGAAAGTACTGAATTTCACATCCAGTGGCATTACCATGATACAACGGACCACAGAGGGTCAAACCATCCTGGGATGCCTGTACTTACCCCAAGGAAGGCCCAGTTACCAAAATAGTACGCAGCACTAAAGAACCAGAACTTGTGGAGGAACAGGTATGTCCGGGTGACAGTACACTGATCTGCAGAAGCAAATAAAGGATGATGGTGAGAGAGGTTCTCTCTTGAAATAGACTATTAATATTTTACCTAAAAGGTTATTAATCAAAACTAATTGTAAGTGTTAGAGATAGGATCTAGATCTATCGCCAAAGCCTACTCTTTCAATCACCTTAACAGAGTTTAAATTACTAACTAATGTAATAGTTTGAAAAGTGAATGCCATGCATGTAATCCCAGCTCTTAGGTATTAAACATTATATTGGCTAGTTCAACTTATTTGAAATAGAAAAAGCATTTAAGCTGGGATGTCAGACATGGTCTAGAACAATACAAAGTTTCCCTGATGAAGAATGAAAAAAAGAAATGAAGAAAGTAATCAGGCATGGTTAGTATTAAGCTGCACTTTTCTTAAAATCCAATTCTCAGGACAGCTCACTTGAAAGATATTTTGAGTTTTTTTTTCTTTTTAAGAATACTATTGAAAAGATGGCTACTATTTTTAAAGAAATAGAAAAGTCATCATTTACTGATACATTTACTGTCTGAATTGTAGTCAGCATTACAGCTTGAAGTAAAAAATAAATGGGTGGTGGGTATAATAGCTCAGTGGTAAAGCGTGTGCTTAACATGCATGAGGTCCTGGGTTCCATCCCCAGTACCTCTGTTACCAACATACAAAAAACAAACAAAAAATACATTTCTCCTTCAAAAGCAAGTAACTCTTAAAGAAAAACTGACAGACTGGATATTTGATACTTGTATAAGACTCCACACTCTTTTATCCAAATATATTATTTCCATTTGTTTATAAAGTTCTTTATATATATTGACACATATCTAGTAAATGACATCTAAGGAAAATACCTGTTTATTAAAAACCATTTGCCACATGGATTTCTGTTACATTTTATCCAAATACTCTCATCCTTTCCACTTCCACTGTCCTTCTACACTTCCTTCTGACCACTCAACCTCAAGCTGGGCCAGGTGTCTCTTCTTCTGGTGGGAAGACATGATGTTTCATAGAGAAGCAGCCAATGCTGACCTACTGAACCCCAGTGGCCTCCTTCATACGGTTTGTTCTCTTTTGCAACAGAAAAGTCAAGAAGGAATATTCAGAGTTTCCAAAGAGAAACCAAACAGGTGTCGAGAGCAGCGGGGGTGCAAATGTTTCTCTCCTCTCCTGGGGATACTAGCACCCAAGATTACAGCTTCCCACCAGGCACTGGGAGGCCAGGCCAGCAGAGCAGACAGGACAGTCATCGGTCCTTCACTCTGCCCCACGTTTTATTCTCACCTCCATCACAGCACTCGCTTCGTAGTGATACAGCTTATTCACTGGTTCTGTTAGACAAGCCTGAGGATTCCAAAGTACCCACCAGAGTACTTGGCACTCATGAGCCATGCGGCTGCTAAAGGAAACTAAATCTTTATACAAAGGGCTATTTTATTTCAAAACTACACTGCTGAAGAATACGGTTTCTAATTTCTTTGGACTCAAATCTGACAAGATTCCAAGGATGTCAAAACGAGACCCTTGAATGTGTCTGGAAAATGCAAGTATGACTTCAGTGTCCAGTATGTTAAAGGAAGTCCAGCCCCTGGCCTCTGACAGACTTGGTGTCAAATGTCATCTGCCCGCTTCGCCATGTGAACAGGTGAATCTGACCCACTGAGACGCTGTGCTTATACAATGGGGATATCGCCATATTGCCTTACAGGGTCATTCCAGCCACCAAAGGAGCCCTGCAAAGCGGCAGTTAATATTAATTTTCTTCTTTTTTTCTCTTCAAGGGTATAATCCGACCCATGATAAAGAATACAATTTTCGAGAGCTGCTCAAAAAGTAGCAAGGAAGAAAAAACCAAAAACAAGATTTTAGAAGACTACGTATGACCACGGGTAGCAAGGAAAACCACTGCTTCGGTGTCAGTGTCGTGACTACCCCACCTGCTCATTATTTTTCTGTCTCTATAGTCAAAACAGATCCCAGTGGGTTTGGTGAAACTGAAATGTGCCTCATTCAGTAACAGGATACCTGACAAACAGTAATATACCTTTCAATAAAAACAGCCAATTAGAAATGAAGAGAGAGACAGTTCGTGACTTAATGCAAAAAAACCGGTTCACAATTATTTTAAAAACATGAACAGTATCTTCTGTGGCTTAAATATTAGATGTGCCCTGCTGTACAAGTATAAACCTGTTTAGGAGAAGTCATTTGATCTTCTCAACATTGTTAATGTTCTAAACTTGTAAAAGTTCCATTACTCATTTCCATACTTCAAGGTATTCTGGGAGTCAGAACTTGGCTGAATTAGAAATTTCAGGACCAGAACAGGGATTACAAGAGCTGGCAGAAGCCAGTACAATCAACTCACTTTTCCCAGAGATCTAATAGTCCACTCAGTGACATTTTTAATTGGCTATCCCTGCTGATTTTTTTGTCCTCCACAAAAAAAAAACTTAAAATATTTCTCCTATCACATTATTTTATGTGTTTACTACTTTCAAAGGCTGCAGATTTGACACAAGCCTTCCAAAGTAAGAAAAAAAATGTAAAATCACTGTTCTGCTTTCTTGTTAAAAAAGTATGTAACAGAGCTTTCCAGTTATCTTTATATGTATATGTATGTATCATTATATTTATATAAAGTGGCAGGTGTCCATAGAAGAATTTTGCTTAATAATTCCCAAGCAGATATTTTATGATCACGTGATGATTCCACACTGAATACACAGAGGGGGCTTGTCTCCTCACCACCTGCCATCTCCCAGCTGCTCACCTGAATCACAGAGATCCAGGAGATCTAGAGATGGCTTTCTACAGTTATGTAAAACATTATAATACATATTTTGAACTTGGTTTGACCTTCAAAGTACATCTGAATTGCTGGAAGTGTTCATTGAGGGACTGCGTTCTAAAATTAGACGTGTTCAGGAGATTTCTGACTGCTACTCCTCAAAACGACACACAAAAATTCCAATTAAACCAAAGAATACATGTTTCCAATGAAAAACTAAAAATTGGGGCTCAGGCAAAATTGTTTTTTCTGATGACAAGGTGGCCAAAGAAACAAGATCAAAATGACAAGAGCAAAGAAAGGGCGCCCGGAGGACATGAACACAGCGAAGAGACTGGATCCTGCGCCTCCCGCCCATCCTCCATCTAGTCTTACTCGTCATCAAACCAGGTCAACAGCTAACAGTGCAATTAAGCCTTTGTTTTTCATGTAACAGTCGCCTTTGTAAATACACCTGACAGACTTTATCCTCTCTATTTCTTGTTTCCTTTTGGACTATTTGTTATGTCATTGTTAATGTGTGCTGACCGCCATGAAGGTAACTTCAGTTATTAACTATGGTAAATAGCACCTTCTACTTTAAATATATTTTGAAAAACAACGTTTAGTGTTGATTTAAGCCACAATTAAGTCCTCATCATGTTATACCTTCACTGGAAATCAACTTAGAACTAATTAACTCTATATTTGTACTTTATTTATAAAACGAATCCTTATGTTACATATGTATATAGAGAGAAGGCATTTGAGAAAATTCATGTACCATGGAGAATTTTAAAGCAATTTGACTAGTGACAAAAAAAAAAAAAACCTGGTAGAAGACTAGACTATTTATTTATTTTTTTACCAAAGTCTAGTCAATTTATAATGTTGTGCTAATTTCTGGTATACAGCATAGTGATTCAGTTACACATACATACAGATCTATTCACTTTCATACTCTTTTTTATTATAAACTATTACAAGGTATTGAGTATAGTTCCCTGTGTCACACAGCAGGACCTTGTTGTTTATCTGTTTTCTGTATATTAGTGTGTATCTGCAAATCCCGAACTACGAATTTATCCCTCTCTACCCCTTTCCTTGCAACCATAGGTTTGTTTTCTACGTCTGTGAGTCTGGAAGACCGGACTGTCTAGGCACCACCGCACCGCTCACAGCTGCCCGTGATTACGCTAACTTCGGTTTCTGAAGAGGGTCTTGCTGCTACCGCGTGTTTGTAACAGACATACAGATCTTAACTACATACACTCTGAGGGTCTTGGGAATATTATGATATGATTAGGAATTATTTACCAAATGGTTTTAAGTAAGGGGGTAACATGAGCGCACTGCAGGTTGGCCGAGGGGACTGAGAGTAGAAAGAGGGTCACCAAGCCAGGAGACAGTCCAAGGGAAGCCATGAGCTGGGGGTCGGAGAGGCTCTGGGGAGCGAAAGCCCATTAATCACTGTTTACTGTCAAACGGATTTACAGCATATGAAACACACACATAAAAGGATCTGAGCAACTAGCAACATACATCCAGATAAGTAAAGGGAGGGCAAAAAAAAATTAAAATAGGTAATAAGAACCAAAATTGTGTATTTATCTTGACATTTAACAAATGACATACAATGAAATCAATGTTGTGTTAAATCTGACCACAGGAGCTGGGACAGAAGGGAAAGAAAGAATCGGTGAACATCAAATACTGGAAATCCTAAAAGAAACAGATTTATTATACTTAATGAATATATAAACTGTACCAGGCCAATAAAGATAGCACTTGCCAGATGTTTTGCACTGCAGAGTAAGTCTTATAAGAATAAGTGACTTTTTAAGAACCAGTATATCTGTGTTGAGCTCTGATTACATTTTAAACGTATTTTTATTTATTTTTTTCGGGTTACATTTAAGTAAGTTTAAGGTATTTCAAAGGTGCTAAAATACGTATCGTATCGCTCCTTTAAGAGAGAATGCACCCACTTTGTCTTGGCCATACACTACTCATAAGACAGAGTTACAGAGGGAAGCATTAGCGTAAACCATGTGGAAGCACCTTGAAGTGTCGTAGTAACCTCTAAATTAATGAGATTTCCTGCCTATTAGTCTTCACTGTCCAAGGATAGTCAAATGTAAAACAACTGCTTTCTGTTACTTTATCCTTTTCATAAAAAAATAGTAGTTTAAGGGGTCTAGTAGAAAATATTAGAGAAAGAATACTGAGATTTGGAC